GGCAGAGCTGGGACTTGAACCCCGGGCAGTTCGGTTGGAGAGTCCCTACTCTTAGCTATCACCCTGTGCATTACCACCTCCGTGAACTTGTGTAATTGGGGTCTTGTCTTTTGCTGCTTAAGTCAAAGCAAGCCCTCTCTGCCCGGCCATGTCTTCCATCCTATCCAGTCCAGGTGTGTGTGCCTCTCACTGGGATTCCTCCTGGATCCCAGCCTCTGGCCACATATGATGCAGCTGGATTGGTCAGGCTGCTGGGCGCAGGAGGGCTCCCACTTCCCCCTCTTTCTTTAGCCTCCTCCTGTGCACATCCCCTCAAGGGCGCCCAAGGCCCACAGCTTGTCCTCGTCGGCATGCGCAAGGTCAGCCGGGAGTCAAGGGCCCTGCCTCTGCTTGTCCCCAGGGGCCAAAGCTTCGGGGAGCCTCTGAGCCCATCCATCCAGGAATCACTGCAGGCTGCAAGCATGGGCGAGGATTCTCCTTCCGGTGGCCCAGGTCTCCCGCCCCTGCACTGGATCCTGAAGAGCCCATTTTCAGGTTGCTGGATCCCTGGGTGGTGCAAACGGTTTGCGCTCAGCTACTAACTTAAAGGTTGGAAGAAAGGCCTGGCTATCTGCTTCCATAAAGATTAAAAACCAAACCCATTGCCATCGAGTTGATGCCAACTCATAGTGACCCTACAGGGCAGAGTAGAACTGCCCCATAGGGTTTCCAAGGCTGTAATCTTTACGGAAGCAAACTGCCACATTTTTCTCCCGTGGAGCGACTGGTGGGTTTGAACCACTGACCTTTCAATTAGCAGCCGAGTGCTTAACCACGGTGCCACCAGGGCTCCTCCATAAAGATTACAACCAAGAAAATCCTATGGAGCAGTTCTCCTCTGACACACGTGGGGTCGCCATGAGTCGGAGCCGAGCGACGACAGCGGGTTTGGTTTGGGGTTTTGGTCATTTAGGCCGTCTGCCGTCTGGTGCTTCTCTCTGCCGAGGAGCACTATTCTGGCTCCAGCTTCCTGAGAAAAACACTTGAGAGCCTTTCCCTCTCCACACCCACACACTTAAAATTCCAGGCCCACAGGTCATCTTAATGAGGGAAGCGCACTAATAACACAGGGCTCCAAGATGCAGCCGCCACTTCTGTGGGCGCTGGCCAAGGCAGCTGTGTCTCAGCAGGGAGGGGCCGCGGGCCGGGGGGAGACCTCTCCCAGGGCCCACGGTCCCCTGTGCAGAACGTCCGTGAGGTGTGTGCGCTGGCTGCTGTTACCCAGTGGTCAAGTGGGGGCCAGATCCGGTCGGAAGAGTACAAAGGAATTGAAAGGCAGAGTTTTCACATCGTGGAAAAATATCACATACCACCGTGAGAAAGTCGCCCGTCGTCTGTAAGGTAATAAGTAGACATCCTTGTACTGCAAGCTGTGAAAGGAGTCCCTCGTAAGAGCACCGGCCGCAAACCACGGTGTCCTCCTTGTTAGCCGTCGTCCAGGCAGCCCCTGACTCCTGGCGACCCCATGCACAATGGAAAGAAATGCTACCAGGTCCTGCACCATCCCCATGACGGGCTGCAGGCCAGACCACTGTGATCCACAGGGTTTTCAGTAAACGATTTTTTCAGAAGTAGATAGCCAGATCTTTCTTCCTAGCTCATCTTAGTCTGAAACCGCTGAAACCTGATCAGCATCCTAGCAACACGCAAGCCTCCCGTGTCAGACGGGTGGTGGCTGTGCATGAGGTGCACTGGCTGGGGATCGAACCCGGGTCTCCAGAATGGAAGGCGAGAATTCTACCACTGAACGAACCATCACTGCTGTGGCTAAATGCCCCAAACCTAGTAGCTTTTGCTGGGTGCGAACTTCTTGTCACTGCACATTAAAGAATGGGCATTAAATAATAAAATTATTAATTCAGAGCAACCACTCAAAACTATTCACGTGGGTTGAACGTCATTCCTGATCTAATAGGCCAGTGTGTTGTTTACCAGCTGCCAGGAGCCCAATTCAGTTCACTAAGAAACCGCTTTTGAACTCTGACCCAGATTTACAGTTGACTGTCGAGTAACAGTCTGGGTACTTTCGAGTCACTGGAAATGTTTTCACTGTCTTGGGCAGCGGTAGAGCTTGGATAAAGTACCGCTAGGAGGGATTCCTGGTGCTGGGTTCATTGACTTTACAGGTAGGGCTTTATGACCTTGGTGGCAGAAATGTGGAAAACAGGAAAAAAATAAAACTGGGAGACCTGGGTTCTGCTGTGCCTGTGGGCTGTGTGACTTAGACAGACTCTTAACCTCTCTGAGCCTTAGTACTACCATCTGTTAATCGAGGATAGTCAAATCTGTCTTGTTTATTTCATGAGACTGTGGGTCGCCATGAGTTGGACTCAACACGACAGCAACTGGTTTTTTGTTTGCGTTTTTTTTTTGTTTTTTTTTAATGTTCCTTTGTTGACGATATTTTGTTCTGGCCAGTCCTATGAGTGTCTGTAATATCATCCGGCATTAAAAATATTTTAAATCAACCAACAATTAGTATTTCAAAAATACAGAGAGAATAATTCTAACTTAGCCTATCTTCAAACTTAGAAACTCTAACTATCCTAATCCTCAGGGCTACGAAGTTAGAGGGGATAAATGGATATGGTTTCTTTTTCTTACTTCTTTTTGCCCTGAGTTTAAAAAAAGGGGGAAGGGAGAAGTTGCCCATCTGACTCTGTGGTTCTCTGGCGTTTTTTTTTTTTTTTTTAAAGAAATTATTTATTTTTTAATAGGCAGTAAATGTGTTACAATTTCAAAATGTACAAAAAATAATAATAAAGATTTCTTATTTGCTCCTCTCCATAAATACTCAGTTCTTCCCCAAGGCTACCACTTCTATGAGTTTCTGTGTATCTTTCCAGAGATCATATGCATATACAAGTGTACATATACAAAAACCAACCAAACCTGTTACCTTCGAGTTGATTCCAACTCATAGTCACTCTGTAGGACAGAGTAGAACTGCCCCAGAGGGTTTCCAAGGAGCGGCTGGTAGATTAGAACTGCTGACCTTCTGGTTAGCAGCCGAGCTCTCAACCACTGCGCCCCCAGGGCTCCGTGTGTATATCTATATAAATACATGCTAGAACAACGCTGTTGTTGTTTGCGGCCATCAGGTCGGCCCTGGACACATGGCCACCCCACGTACGGCGGAGCAAATTGCCGTCCAGTCCTGCGCCATCCCCGTATCAGGTACAGATCAGACCACTGAGATTCACCGGGTTTCCAGTGGCTGATGTTTAGAAGTAAATCATCAGCCCACCTTTGTCTAAAAGCTCCGCTGAAATCTGTTCAGCATCATCGCAATGCACAAGCCTCCACTGACAGGTGGTGGCTGCTTCTAAGGTGCCCTGGCCAGGAATTGAACCTGGGTGTCCTGCATTGACCAGAGAACCACCAATGACCCTATAACCCAAAAACCAAGCTAGTTACTGTTGAGTCCGTCCTGAGTCATGGTGACCCTTTTTTTTTCGGGTTGGGGTTTTGTTCGTTGGGTTTTTCATTGGTTTTGCCTTTTTGGCATTGTTTTGCCGGGCTTTTTTTTGAGGTGTCTCTAGGTGGATTTAAACTGCTGGCCTTTTGGTTAGTAGCCAAGTGCTTAACTATTTGCGCTACCCAGGAAAAATGACTGTGTATACATAAACCCACTGCCATTGAGTCGATTCCAACTCATAGCAGTCCCGTAAGGTTTCCCTGGCTGTAATCTCTACGGAAGCAGACCGCCACATCTTTCCCCTTGGAGCCTCTGGTGGTTTCCAACTGCCAAGCTTTCAGTTAGCAGTGGAACACTTTAACCACTGCGCCACCAGGGCTACGTATATACA